ATTAAATTCTGCATGTAAAACGAGATATCAAAGTGACGAACAAATAAGAAAAATAAACAAATGTACTAATTTGATTTGTTTTTCCATTTTGACACTCAGTAAACAACAATAAAACTAATAGGAAAGGTACAAGTTTTCAGAGGAGGACTAGACACATAATCAATAAATGTTCAAATACCTTATAACACAAGCTAAAACAAATGCTATATCGTGCTAGTATTCTTGTAAAAGTAGTAAGAAACACAAATATGTATTCAAGGTGGAAGCAGCAGCCCCAATACAAAATAACACACGTCATAAACGATTTTGAATAATTCATGAAATACTGCATTGACATTACGGAAATATACGGAACATTAAGGAAAACTTATTCTAAAATCATAATAAATGATTCAAAATACACTAGGAATTATCACAGAGAACTGAATAAACATGACCAAATCTTAAGTAATAATGATGTAAATATATACATTTATAAGTATGAGGTAGTAAACTAAATTACTTTTTAGGCATATACACGGTCACACCAGTGCACTCTGTTAGTTTTTCAAGACACTTGTCAAGGCGGACAGTGTAAGAAAGAGGTACGTGGTACCCAAGCTTGCTGGCGGCATCCTCTGAAAACATTTTCGAAACAATCGATACCAAATTAGCAGTTTTATTTTCCTCGTCATGGAAATCTAATGTAAACACAATAGAGCCGCTATCTCCATCCGCAGAGAAAGCACGATCATCTCGACCTTCGATCAAGTATGCTTTCTGCGTATCGACAAGTCCAGCAAGTCGAAAATCTTGGCTGACCACAACTCCTTCACTCATTCCGGTTGCAGCACCTTTTGTGTACACTACGGTACCAGAAGCAAGAATGCCATCAAACACAACACAGTCACACGATTCACCAGATTCATTTCTGAATGTAAGATTGCAATCTTCGCTGGTTGTCATGTTCTCGTCGATTTCTATCACGGCGATGTCATATTGCATGGTTTCAGTGTCTCCTGAACGGTGTAGACTTGTGAGACATTTCCCAAATTTCTTAGTTTCGCCATTCTTAACGAAAAATGCGTCATCGTTTTGTGTAAAGAGATGACCTGCGGTTATTGCCACGACAATGTTTTTGTGAGTTTCCTGTTCTGAATTTGAAGTGGTCGGTCCGTCTGCTTCTTTGGTTGTCTCTGTGGTGATTGGTTTGGTTGCTTCTGTTACCATTCCGATAGAGCCCGTCTGTGCAGGTGATTGTACTTTATGGCCTTGCTCTAAACCCGTATCTGTCAAAAAGTTTTTGGAAACTGCTACCACGTCAACAGGTATATTGAAGTTGCCTCGTTCGTCGCAAAGTTTCCTAATCTCTCGATAGGTAACTTGTTGTACTTGCTCATTGCCTTTCTCGTCAAGAAAGACTACAAAGCGGTCCGCAAACAATCCAAACGCCAAAACGCCGCTGTCTTTCATTCTGAAAAGGTAACAGATAGAATATTGAAGACGCCAATGTATCAACATAGCAGGAAATCAGCTACGGAAATAAATGCCTCACCTCAATCTAGCATTTGCGAAATAGAACTATCTAACGACTTCGCATTTGTTAAAAAAACGTGATCGTTGTGGTTGGTAATTTAGCCAATTGATTTGCGTAAAAATGCAATTTTATTTATATCCTTTGCGTCGATGGTTTTACTTTTTACATATCCGACATCGTTCTTTGTGTCGTTGTAACTGTAATAAATTCAAATATACGAGAAAACTCTAGTAAATTAATTAGTACCCAAAGGTGCATTGCAATTAGAATTATGTTTTAAAAAGAAAACTTCTCACCCATTTAATGCTAAATCTATTTCGTCTGTAATTTCACATTTAGTAGAACCACCAGCTGCTGATGTTTCACGGTCTGGAAGTACTTTTCGGGTAAGCAATACAGTCACAGCTTCCTTGGTGTTTCGCAGCATGGTTATTTTGTCAGAGTTTGGAGACTTAATTGTTTCCTCATATTCATCAATGCGTTGCTGCACTTCTTTTGCATAGGTGAACAGGTCTTCACCTAGAATATGGGTAAGTTTTCGTCTAACGCAAGTTGAGGTTTCTTTTTCTACTTTGAAAACTCGTACTGATTGGCTTTGTCCGGTTATCTCGACATCAATGGTTGGACTCGGAACATACAACACATTCGATGATTCATGTACCTGTCCAGGAAATTCGAATGACTAGTTCATTTATGATGTAGAAACAAATGTTTTATTTGATTTGTTGGTGCGAACCGACTATCTAACTGTCAAAAGCATGACATAAAACGTATCTCTTCGATCTACAAACAGACTGTTTGTGGATCGAAATATACGATTTATGTAATGTTTTTGATAGTAAGATAGTCGGTTCACACCAATGTTTTTCCTTTGTTGTTTAACTTCATCTACCTATACTGGAGTACAAAAGTGGGGGTATCTTTCCACAGCTATAACATGAATATGCAAACGTGTATGCACACCCAGAACTACAACTGTTCATATACACATCTAACAGTTATATTCACATTTTATACAATGTTATATCACAATAAGTTCATAATTTTCATTTGTATATTGTGTCTTGGTCATTTGTCATTTTTTTGGATACATAAAAGTAAAATGAAAAACTCTTTACCACAGCTCTAAGAGATGAAATTTCATGCTTTTAGCAAAATACTTACAGTAATGCAAGTCTCATCTTTGTCCAGAAAGAGAATCAGACACGAACAGTCTTGATCAGGTGTCACACTTGTACGCTCTTTTTCTTGTTTGAAACATTTCTCTGAAAAAAATACGTAATTTACAAAATGTTTATCTGTTAGCTCTTTGTCCCATCTTCAAGAACATTTTATACTCCTGGTTTCTTATTTTATGCTGTTTAGCATGAACTACAAACATTGCGGAAAATGTAGATAATGTTTACATTGGTCTCAAGTCTTACTAATGAACATTTTATTTTTTATATCTTCAAATAGAAGAGACATATTTTAGATTGACTTTTGTTTGTTTGAGCGTTTTCTACGACACCATTGATGTGAGACAGCAAAGTTGCACCAAAGTTTCAAAGAGCATGTTTTGCTGAAGAGTTTTAATATAAATGTTATTTTATCAATGGTATGAGTTGAAGAGATAAGATAACGTGAAACGATGTTCAGTGTGCGGCTATTCGGTCGGTGTGCTAATCATATCAACACAGTGTATGCATGATTGAAGTGTACGCCTTAACCGTTTAGACAACTATTTACGGATACACTATTATCGATAGATGTTTCTCAGCATATAAAAGTCATATTTATATGCGGTTTGTTGAAGAATATATTTTTTTTATCATTGATACCTGTAACATCTGATTTGTCGCTGTAATCATGGTCCCCCATTATGGCGGACACCTCTCGTGAAATATCATCTTCATCACCGTCCATAGCTATATGTAGCTGCAGTTCGTGTTGTTCAAGGATTCGTGGGTATTTCGGAATGATGTTCCCATCACCAAATATAGTTCGACACCTATTTTGAATGTCCTTAGCGAATTTCAAGTTTCGCTGTAAGAGCGGAAAGCATTCCACTTTGCAACATAGACGAAATACCCGAAAACTCGTATCTGCAAAAAGAGATCAGTCATTCTTGAAAAACGCTTTATATTACATGTAAATTGAAAAGATAAATTAAAGGTTATTTCTTATACACGACGTATCAATGATATTCAGTAAACCAAACACGTTTTTTAAAATATACTACCTTTGATAATGTTTGATGATTTGTCTTTTAAACAAGCTTTGAATTGTACAAACGAATGCACGATCTCTGGTTCGCAAGTATCTGGATACCTGTTTTCGCTACGAAGTGGGTACACAACGTCCTCATTCTGCGTGTAAAAATATGATACACGGTGAATCACATATAATATGTTCGTTTTGGCAGATATACCATATAAATAAACGATACAAGTAACCATTGATGACAGATATAATATATGCGTCAACCAAAACTTCTCTTATCATACCCCAACCATCTTCTCACAATTTCCAATTATTGCGGACGCAATATAACTTGTGTATATCCAGCGCATTACAGTATCATCTTTCATATGGCAAGAATTTAAATGTATTTATTATTATTAGTATTTAAATACAGGGAAATAATATTGTTCATAATAAATATATATATATAAATAAAGAATGTCATTATTCCAACTTTTATATATACTTTTAGATACAGTATGAGTTTATTTCAATCACCATTGAAGTAACGTTTAAATAGTTTGAAAGAATTGATGTGCAACAAATGTAACAGATAATACACAAAAAAACATGGGTTTCAGAGAAACGATGAGGTTAAAAAACATTGAGCGACGTATTTGTTTCAAGGTAACTTCGTCTTAAATTCGACTAGTTATACGTGCTTGGGATTGTCCAGATGCTACTAATCCGTTTAGCAACGAGTGTGAACTCGGTTTAATCAGTCCTGCAAGGTTGTTCTTGGGTGGAATCCCGTTCAACGACCTCTTACAATATTCCACTACTGGACCTACATACGGAAACAGGAAAAACAAGTCCTATTTTATCGTATTGGATTAGATCAGATTGAGTTCATGGTAATGTATGTGGTGGAGAATTTAAGAACAATACAATCATAATATAAGCTTATTGCATGCGGATCCGAAACAAAAGAATAAAACCTAATAAGACATTGAAAAATCCTATTGCCTCGCATCTTAAGATAAATATATTGTGTCTTATAGTGAAAGCAACATATGATGTTATATAAGACCTACAAAAGACATAAACAACGATAAGTTGACTGAACAAATAGTGTATATTGTGTTAACAGTTTAAAATTAGCGTTCTAATTACAAGCGATTTAGCCATTTATATTTACTTGTAATCTGTTTGATCGATATATAAGGAAGAAGTTGGCAGAATGTAAACCTGAGGCAAGAATTGTCTTGATAATTTCATTTTCAAATTTTGTAAATAATGGCTTCAGTAATAAAATAAAAATCATCAAATACAATATAACGCAATACATCTCCAGCCCATACGGAGCCATACACACATAGAGATATATATTAGCCAGGTGGCATATGACTAGTAGTTAGCGCCTGATAAGGCAGCTCCTGCGAATTCCTTAAACTGTATTGATAAATGAATATAATAATTGTATTGATGGTATGAATTGTATATCTATATACTGTGAAGAGCTTAAGAGTGGCTTATCCTAGCTAGTTTGTAGTAAGTTTCAAAACATTACTATGCGATTAAATAAAAATACTAATAAAAAAGCTCTATGCCTTTAAGGTTATTCAGTTGCCAAGTGTCAAAATAGTAAATAACTTTGGAAGTTGGGAAAACTTTACACATTTTCTATACATTGATTTCTGAATACCATGTATTGATGGGCTTTTGGCATGAAGTTTATAGAAATCTCGACAATCTTGACATTCGTGATGTTATGAAAAGGGAAAATATTAAAAAAAAGAAGCATTTGTTTCTTTCTGCAGTGCATGTCCACACGAAATCAGTTTGTGATTTAAATTCTGCATGCACACCTATCGAAATAAAAAGGATATTCAGTCAACTGTGATTGTATCAGCTGCAACTAAAGACAGTGCATTACAGAATGTTTAAGGGATCTTTAATTTTGCTAATTAGTCTGTAATTCTGAAAACCAATAGTCAAAGATTGGAATAGCAAGCAGGCGGCTCTGAGTATCTAACAGCTGTCATGTTATACTAGTTTTGCCTTCTGATATATACTTAAAAACATTACTTTCTTAAAACACATATATTGTTTACTACAACCTTCCACATGTCACTACAATTCTTTACAAAGATGATGGACTATTTATTTGATTAAAGTAGACATAACTTCCAAATAGTGATATAATATCATATTACGTACTACCACCAACACCATTTTAAAACAGACTGTAACCAAATTGTTCTAAGGTGTGAAAATATACAGGTATGCTAAGTGGTATTTCAGCTAGGGCGAGGCACAATTGTGTGACGTCATTAAAAGTAGAGGAAGCTTTTATTAAATTGATAGAACGTTAATATGCTTTGAACATGATTTATTGTCCGCTGATCAGACTTGTAAACAAATGTTGAAATAAAGATAATTTTTCGAATTCGGTGAAAACTCCAGTTAAGCACATTAACAGTGTATCATATATGGCTTTACGTTGTCATCTATCTAATTTACACGTGCTCCACTGGACTTATTCAGTGTAACCAGACGTAAATATTATATATTAAATAAGGCATTACCACAACATTCAATGTGTGTTTCATTAAATGCTGATTTGTAACAGTAAAAATAATAATTTGAGTTTGGGTTTTGAGAAACGTCTGGTCAAGAACATTGGAGGCAATCACAGTTTTATTATTAGTATTTGTTAAATTCTGTTCGTCTTTAGTCATTCAGGTTAGTGTTTTGGTTATCAACTTTAAGGACAGAGCGAATTTCAAGATCTTTGAAGCTATATTTGTGATTTATTTACATGTGATGATGACGACCGTTACATTTCCTTATTGGTGATAAATAGGATGGTTTAAATAGATACAACTATTCATTTGTTTTGTCTTTTCAATTATTTTCTAACATAAAACAATTGAGTATTAAAAATGCACTGAAAGGAGGATAAAGTCGTTACAAATGTAACAACTCAAATGCTATGGAAAGAACTAACTCACCGACTGGAACTTTTCTTTTCTTTTCATTGTGTTTTGGATCATTACCACTGCTAGATGCTTCTTTGTCTATAGGTAGTTACATGAAAACCATATAAAGAAATGCATGCGACCTGCACAAGAGATGATATTGTCAGGGAGATATGCTGTACGAACGAATACATTTTAATCGGGCTAATATCACCGTTAAATATGTGCATGCGCTTACTAGTGTCGACCAATCTGAGATACCACATATGTATGGTATCGTTTTATATTTACCGACAATTGTTCTTGATATGCACATTACTTTTATTTCTAACCAATATCCCGAATAAATATTCATGTTTCTTCTCACAAACTTGAAACCAATTACTATGGCGTACAAACTTACATAAAGGACAAAATAATGACGTCGCGTTAATGAAGCAAAAGTTGTTATAAAATGTTTCAACTCGATTCCTGTTTTCTTCCAAAATATGTCCAGCTACTTGGTAGTACAGTATCTTTGATTTCCACATTGCATGTGAAATAAAGTAAAGGGATTGGGAAATATAATGTCAAAAGAATCAAATGAACATAATATGTAGATTAGGACTATAATTAAGATTCGACAGGAATAAACTAAAATACTTTATTTTCCTTTTGGTAGAATGTGTTATGCTAAACCGTCTAGTAGTGCGTGTTTGATTTTAAAAGGTTTTAATATTTTGTCATACACGTGTTTATTTCTTCTATTGTACTTAGGGGCACTTTGATTTTCTGGAATGGTATTAAATATATTGTATTACACCAGATAAACACAAATACTTGAGTCTTGTGATGTCATTTAGAGATGGTGTTCCCTTTACAAGTATTTCCCGTAACAATCACACGTGCTGTACAAGAACTATTATAAAACAAACCCGTGCAATGCCGCATCAGCATTAACTGACCTTAAACTTATTCAATTCGACAAGGGTCTTCCTCAGGGTCTTAGAGGTTCACCCGCATATGTTCTCTAATCCCGAGCTGCCGAATATTGACAAATACATATGTATTGTAAAACGGAGCTTAAATTAATTGTCTAACACTAATTATTCTTCTAGTCATATGTTTCCGCTTGTTATATATTTCCGCGCAGCTATTTTGTCAAGCTTTATCTCGTAACTACGTGACCCGCTTGACACTACACAAGGATATTTTAAGAAGCTTGTCCATCGTCTGCAAACTGACACAAAAAATACCGGAAGTTCGTCCAGAAAACAATTTATCACTGCTTAAAAAACACGCATAAATATGCAGTTTTCCTTAATACACTTTTCAGCTTGCTCAAAATGAACCAATACCTGAAAAAACAGTGATCCTCGCCAATTTTTTTCCGATAATAATTTCCAATTTCACCAATTTTAAACAGAAATAAAAGAGAAATAGCTTACTATCAACCATAACCGATATAAGAGTGCACAATTATTTTTTTAACAGATTCTATATTATGACGTAATAAATAAGATAAATAGATTCATGAAAATACACGAATTTGTTCAAGTTGACACATTGAATAATCAATAAAAATCTAAAAAAAAATGTTTTGCTAATTAATTTGACGATCAAAGATATTGTTTTTATACCAAACGAAGCTTTTGCGTACAGGCCAAACAGGAGGAAATAAGTCATCAACTGCAAATTTACTTTTTATTGCTTTGTCTTTTGGAACATTATCACTTCGAGATATTTCTTGGTCTATAAGTAGTTATATGAATACTATAAACACAAAAGAATGAGACCTTGACAGCAATGAAATTGTCAAGGAGATATGCCTTTGCTATCTTATTATCAATAAGTAGGGCGATAATTGCTTCTTTTTTTTAAGAAATAGAAACAAATATTCGTGTTCTTTGTCCTTTGATTTATTTTCAACCAAAAGCAATTGAATATTATTAATGTTGAGATGTATGGAAAATGCTAAGGAAACAAATAACTCACCGACTGCAACTTTCCTTTTCTTTGTTTTGCTTTTTGGAATATCATCACTGACAGATAATGCTGGTGCTGTAGGTAGTAACATGAATATTATGCAAAGATAAGAACGAGACCTGCACAATAAATGATATTGTCAAGGAGATATGCTGAACGGATGGAAATACTGTATTCGTGCTAAAGTCACCGTAAAGCTGTTTTATGCACTAAATAGTGTCGACCAATTTGAGATTCCAAATATGTGTGGCATTGTGTTATATTTACTGCAAATTGTTCTCAATATGCCAAAAAAAAAATCGAA